GCATTTGGTGCTGTCAGTCAGCTTGTAGCTGTTCTACGTTTAGGTGGAAGGGGTGCGAGGTATAGTGCTGCTAAAGCATTGGAGAGCCTCTTTTCTGCTGATCATATTAGGAATGCTGAAACTTCCAGACAAGCTGTGCAGCCCTTAGTTGAGATTCTCAGTACTGGCATGGAGAGGGAGCAACATGCTGCCATTGCTGCCTTAGTCCGTTTATTAAGTGAAAACCCTTCAAGGGCCCTTGCAGTTGCAGATGTTGAAATGAATGCAGTTGATGTCCTTTGCAGGATTCTTTCATCAAATTGTACAACGGACTTGAAGGGAGATGCTGCTGAGTTGTGCTGTGTACTATTTGGAAATACAAGAATCAGATCTACGATGGCTGCAGCAAGATGTGTTGAGCCTTTGGTTTCACTTCTTGTGACCGAGTTTAGTCCTGCTCAGCTATCAGTTGTCCGTGCGTTGGATAAACTTGTTGATGATGAACAACTAGCAGAACTAGTTGCTGCACATGGAGCTGTTATTCCTCTTGTAGGGCTCCTCTATGGTAGAAATTACATGCTTCACGAAGCAGTGTCGAGAGCACTTGTGAAGTTAGGTAAAGATAGACCTGCTTGTAAAATGGAAATGGTAAAAGCTGGAGTAATTGAAAGCATTTTAGATATCCTCCTTGAAGCGCCTGATTTTCTTTGTTCAGCCTTTGCTGAATTGCTTCGTATACTGACTAATAATGCAAGCATTGCCAAAGGACCATCTGCTGCAAAAGTGGTTGAACCTCTTTTCCTATTGCTGACAAGACCAGAATTTGGACCTGATGGACAGCATAGTGCACTGCAGGTTCTTGTTAATATTTTAGAGCATCCTCAATGTCGTGCTGACTATACATTGACCTCTCACCAAGCTATTGAACCCCTTATTCCTTTACTTGATTCCCCAGCTCCAGCTGTGCAACAACTGGCAGCTGAGCTCCTATCGCATTTACTTGTGGAAGAACATCTGCAAAAGAATTCAGTTACGCAGCAAGTAATTGGTCCTTTAATACGAGAACTTGGTTCTGGTATACAGATATTGCAGCAGAGAGCTGTCAAGGCTCTTGTCGGTATTGCACTAACGTGGCCAAATGAAATAGCAAAAGAAGGTGGTGTCAGTGAGTTGTCCAAAGTCATTTTGCAAGCTGATCCTTCACTTCCTCATTCATTGTGGGAATCTGCTGCCACTGTTTTAGCCAGTATTCTACAGTTCAGTTCCGAATTTTATCTGGAAGTCCCAGTTGCTGTGTTGGTCAGGTTGCTTCGTTCTGGATCAGAAAGCACGGTGGTTGGTGCACTGAATGCTTTACTTGTGCTAGATAGTGATGATGCAACTAGTGCAGAAGCAATGGCAGAAAGTGGTGCAATTGAGGCACTGTTGGAACTTCTGAGAAGCCATCAATGCGAGGAAACTGCAGCTAGACTACTGGAAGTACTGCTTAATAATGTGAAGATCAGAGAAACCAAGGTTACTAAATCTGCAATTGTACCATTATCCCAGTATCTCTTGGATCCTCAAACTCAAGCTCAACAACCAAGGTTGCTGGCAACTTTGGCACTTGGTGATTTGTTCCAGAATGAAGGTCTTGCTAGAAGCGCGGATGCTGTTTCAGCTTGCCGTGCTTTGGTCAATGTACTTGAAGATCAACCAACAGAAGAAATGAAAGTGGTAGCAATATGTGCCCTGCAAAATCTTGTTATGTGCAGTCGATCAAACAAAAGAGCAGTTGCAGAGGCTGGTGGTGTTCAGGTGGTATTAGACCTAATTGGGTCCAGTGATCTAGAAACATCTGTTCAGGCCGCAATGTTTGTTAAACTCCTTTTCTCAAATCATACCATCCAGGAATACGCCTCCAGTGAGACAGTTAGGGCTATCACTGGTAATTTCCCTCAACCCCCTCACATGCACTTACATACATACATATTGACATTGATAGAGTTGGCTTTGTTTTGTTATATCAACTCCTCATGTCTACTACATGGTTGAATTGTTGTATTCCCCTTTTTATGTTCCCAGATTGCATTCTATAATTAATCAACAGCTTTCTGAACAATTTTTTCGCCTTCATAGAATTGCTTTCTTGACTTAGATGCTTTGCCTGCCTCGGAAGATATAGTGTCATTAACAAAATTTGGTCTTGCAGCTGCTATTGAAAAGGACTTGTGGGCCACTGGAACTGTGAATGAGGAGTACCTGAAGGCCCTAAATTCTCTTTTTAGCAACTTCCCACGACTGAGAGCTACTGAGCCTGCTACACTAAGCATTCCTCATCTAGTAACATCCTTAAAGACTGGTACTGAGGCAACTCAAGAAGCTGCATTAGACTCCCTATTTCTTTTGAGACAAGCCTGGTCAGCCTGTCCAGCTGAAGTTTCAAGAGCTCAGTCTGTTGCTGCTGCAGATGCCATCCCTTTGCTTCAGTATTTAATTCAGTCAGGCCCTCCTCGTTTCCAGGAGAAGGCTGAGTTTTTGTTACAGTGTTTGCCGGGAACATTATTAGTTATAATCAAACGTGGCAACAATATGAAGCAGTCAGTAGGAAACCCCAGCTTATTTTGCAAACTCACCCTTGGCAATACTTCACCCAGGCAAACGAAGGTAATGTTCTCCATCCTTGTATATTTTGCATTCCTAGTTTTTGCACCTTTCTAGTAAAAATATTGCAGACAAGCTAAATATTTATATTGCTAATGATAGTTGCTATACTCAACTAATTACTGGAAACTATATTCTGTCGACATGCTCGAATAATGTGGTTTCATTCTCTTTTTGCATTTACGGTTTCATTCCACATTTATCATCTAAACCATCGTGTCTAACCATATATGAATACTTTTTTTTTGTACATTTCACAGAGGAAATTCCACAATGTCTCACTTCTAAAACTGCGAGTAGAACGGTTTCAAGAGAATATTTGTAGTGCTTATAAGAATGTATCTTAAAACTTGTCACTGCAATTCAGGGACAACGCAGTTTCTACATTCTTAACTTACAGATTTAGGGAAAAAGCCTTCCACACTATCTTAGTGTCAAAATATAGACGATGCTACGTTATAATCGTGGTGTCATCCCCTAATTTTATTCTATTATAACCAATATTGTCATCTCTTCTCTTGCATCATTTTCTCATTTTGTCTCATATTGCTAAACTGTAACCTCCCTTTGAAACTTGTTCAGGTTGTATCAACTGGTCCTAATCCAGAGTGGGATGAGAGTTTTGCTTGGTCCTTTGAGAGTCCACCAAAAGGCCAAAAGCTTCATATTTCTTGCAAGAACAAGAGCAAAATGGGGAAGGTAAATCTCTTCAATCTTTCTTCTTCTCTTTTCTTTTCTTTTCTTTTCATATGAAAGTTTCTACAACTAGTTTTCTCTGTGTAATAAAACAGAGTTCTTTTGGAAAAGTAACAATTCAAATCGACAAAGTTGTAATGTTGGGAGCGGTTGCCGGCGAGTACACACTGTTGCCTGAAAGTAAAAGTGGTCCTCGAAATCTGGAAATAGAATTTCAGTGGTCTAACAAGTAAGCAACCATTGCTCATGTAGGAGACCAGCCCTTCCCTTCCCTTCCGGAATGATTTTTTCAATTTATTTTCAATTTTGGGTATTTATCATGATAGTGTATATAGTATAGTATACTCTCCATGTTTTTCTTTTAGTTTATATAAATAGCAATTTGTCAAAAGAAATCTCTCTGGAAATTTCCTTTCACTAGTTTTCTGAGATGAAAAGATTTGCTCTTCAAGTGCTTGTCAATTTTTTAGGAAAAGTAATGTATGATTTAATTATGTAACTTTTTAGTGTGTGAAAATTCAGTGTATGGATACATAGGACCTCTAATAAACGTGTTCTGAACATTATTCTTTTGAATTATAGGAATCCTCGTTCCTCACATCCAAACAATAATGCTTTTTCGATGTGATTTGTGTTACTATGTTGAGCATATGTTTAAAAAACTGAATCGCTCCTTTATTGATATGATGAATTAAGTAAAGAATCTGTCGTTTATATTTTGAAGTCAAGTGCTGCAGCTGAATGACAATGAGTGCGTTCCAGTTGTGTACTGTTTAGAGGATATGTTTGAAATATGAATTTCATCTTTCATTAATGTAATTCAAACAATTTATTATTTCAATTCACAAGCGTCGTCTCAATTAGACGATAAGCTCATCTCTTGTACCGGTTGAAAATTCTCAAGAGTGAGTCTCATATTAATTAATTTAGTGGAATATCATGAGTTTATAAGTGAGGAATACTATTTCCATATCGGAATGAGGCTTTTTGGGAAATACCAAATCAAAGTCTTGATAGAGAATTTAATAATATACTATCGTGGAGAGTCCTGATTCCTAACCGGACCACCACTTTAGTGCCTTGATAGGTTTATCAAAAATTCTTTCATATTGTATTTTATTATTCGATATTTTTACGTCGAAATTGAATATAGCATAATTAATCGTTATTTTTATGTTGCCTCATAAATTATATTCCATGAGAGATTTTAACTTTCTTTAATTATTCTGAATTTTATTTTTTATTTTGATTTATTTATTGTTGTAATAGTGAAAATTCAGATCATGATATATACTAAAATTAATGTGTAATCAGAAGATATATATTGTTGTTGATGCTATCACAGTCTTCTTGTCCAACTATCTTATTTTTAAAGATAAATATATATTAATTCATACTCCAAGTAATTTATTTAGTTTGAAAAGAACAAATATCTAAAAGTAAAATAGTAGTGTGCATTTAATTTAATATATATGTATATATGTAAAAAGAAAAATTTTTAAAATAAAAAAAATAATAAAAGAGCAAGAAGAAATGTGTCCAACGGCGCAAAAGAAAACGACAACCTTTCTTACGGGCGCGCACACAGGGAAAAGGAATTAGTACACACACGCGCCTTTTCGCGCGTGAATACACCCACGCTCCGTCATCCTCGTCGCCATCCTTTTTCTTTCCCACTCTTCTATTTATCTCAGTCTCTCTGTCTGCTTCTTCTTTATACTTCACAACTCTTCTTCTTTCTAACTTCCGGCTGAACTCGTCGGTTTCTGTGATCTCTCCTCCATAATTTCGGCGGTCCGTAAACTCGAAAGCTTGCTGTTTCTGTTTCTCATTTTGGTCCCGGGCGGAAATTGAGGGTCTGAATTGTTGGCAGTTTCTTCTGAAGCTCCAGATCTCGACTTCGAGCTGCTTCGTTCGTCCTTTGAGGATTGGTTGCAATGTCGCTTCGGAATCTGGTTTTGGTCCTGCTGATGATGATTTCCGCTCACCAGGCTATGTCGATTGCGTTTACATCGAGAATACTTCACCGGTTCTCTGAGGAGATGAAGGCGCTTAGGGTTTCAAGGAGTACGAATACGAGTGTACGAGTCTCGTGGCCTGAGAAAGGGAGCATGGAGTATTATCAGGAGCTTGTGAGCGGTGACTTCCAGAGGCAGAAGATGAAGCTTGGCTCTCGGTTTCAGTTGCTTTTCCCGTCTGAAGGCAGCAAAACCATTGCACTGGGGAATGACTTTGGCTGGTCACCACTAATCTACCTTCTCCTTTTTTCTTTTTTGCCTACCCTGTTCTTGCAATACTTTGTTCTTCTGTTTTGAATATCCTTTTCTGTCTGTTTTTCCTCTTACACCATGATTTATCCGCAAACCTTTTTCCTTTGAGTAATCCCCATCCCCCCCCCTAAAATAAAATAAGAAATCCCCACCTCACTAATAGCCTTTTGCATAGTGGCACCTTTATCTGAAAATTTTGTCTTGTGGTATGATTTATGCACCTGATGAATCAATTTGTTATTTACCTCTTATAGGTTGCATTACGCCTGGATCGACATCGGGACGCCAAGTGTTTCATTTCTGGTTGCATTGGATGCCGGGAGTGATCTGCTTTGGATTCCTTGTGATTGCATACAATGTGCTCCTTTGTCTGCAAGTTACTATGGCAGTCTGGTAGGCCTGCTTTTCGGAATCTGTTCTTTCTACATAGCCATTAATTACTTCTAATCCACGACCTATGCTTTATCGCCAAGCATATTGCCTTTTCGTTTCCGTTAGAGAGAAGGTCATGCATGCCAAATTGTGTTCTGGAATTCAAAAATTTGTTGTGCTTTTTTGTCAAAAGAAGGCATGGTCGGTTCCAACGGGGAAAAAAAATCCTCAAGAGGAGATGGGTATGGAAGACTATGTATTCGGCACCTAAAGAGGCTAACTCATTGTTAGCGTAAATGTGTTAGCGGATTGTGAAGTCTTTTTAATAAGACAGCAAGTTTAGCACTTATTTCCGATGATTGATTGGCAGGTGCTCCTGCTCCTCCCTCATGTTTGGGGCATTTATAATGCAGGATAAAGATCTCAATGAATACCGTCCATCCAGTTCAAGCACGAGCAAGCATATATCTTGCAGCCATAATTTGTGCGAGTCAGGCCAAAGCTGCCAAAGTCCGAAGCAGTCATGTCCTTATGTTATTGACTACTTAACTGAAAATACTTCAAGTTCTGGATTACTGATTCAGGATGTATTGCATCTTTCATCCGGTTGTGAGAATTCATCTAATTGTACGATTCAGGCTCCGGTCGTTTTAGGGTATGGCCCATTAATCATATATTTGTAGTTCTAATTGTTTGCTCATCTAATTGTTTGCTGTATTTATATTGCCCTTCTTGCTCTCTAACACAGATGTGGTATGAAACAAAGTGGCGGTTATCTAAGTGGAGTGGCTCCAGATGGTCTTTTTGGATTGGGGCTTGGAGAAATTTCTGTTCTTAGTTCCCTTGCTAAAGAAGGATTAGTACAGAACTCTTTCTCACTGTGCTTTAATGAGGATGGATCTGGCAGAATCTTTTTTGGGGACGAGGGACCAGCTAGTCAACAAATGACTTCATTTGTGTTGTTAGACGGGAAATAGTAATTACCATACTCAATTATTTTCATCTTTATGATCATGGTTTGCTATATTTGTTGGCTGAAGTCTTTTTCGTACCCGAACCCCTCAGTGAAGCCTATATCGTCGGAGTGGAAGCATGTTGTATCGGGAATTCATGTCTCGAGCAGACAAGTTTTAAAGCATTGATTGATAGTGGAACCTCGTTTACGTATCTCCCCGAGGAAGTATATGAAAATGTTGTGATGGAGGTATATTCTTTCTGGAGATGAGCCTTGTATTTATAGTTCGTTTGTCCTTTAACCATTTCTCCTTTTGACAGTTCGATAAAAGGTTAAACACTACAAGCACCGTCACCTTCAAAGGTTATCCTTGGAAGTATTGCTATAAGATCAGGTGACATCAATGAGATGGAAAACCTTTAAAACCCTTTTCCCCTTGTATCTCCCTACTTTGTGCATGTGTAATGTTAATATTATAGTTTTTTTTTTTTTCCAACAGTGCAGACGCAATGCCAAAGGTTCCGTCTGTGACGTTGTTGTTCCCACTAAACAATAGCTTTGTTGTTCATGATCCTGTTTTTCCTATCTATGGCGATCAGGTAGACGAAGTTTACTTCTAAGATTTGTTGTTCCCAATAAAGGTTTTGACTTGTTTGAATTGTCATAATTAGCCATTAATTGAATAGATTCCACATTTAGTGGGCGGCATTAAAGTATCCTTAAACATCAAATTTTGAATCATAGTAGTTAAGTTGATGCCTTCTTGATATCCAAGAAAAAAGAGCCCCCAAGGAAATGAAGAATAAGAACAACTAGAACAATATAAGAAGGAATGTGTTTGAACCATCAAGATAATGTGTTCCCTCTTCGTTGATACAGATTACCAGTTACTTTCTAGTTCTAACTATCAAGTAAATCACATGTTATGCATCGCTTATGTTTCTATTTTTGAAATTTCATTATTGCACGAGTCAAGTAAGTAGTACAAGGAAATAGTACCTGTTGTGATACTAAAATATTACTATGGATACAGGGGTTAGCTGGATTTTGTTTTGCTGTACTACCTACTGATGGAGATATCGGGATACTGGGACGTAAGCTCACAATGTCTGCTTATAATTTGTGCTATATGCGTAGTAAGTTGTATACCGTCTAATGGAAGTTCTGATCTTGAAAACCCCGTCTGGTGCAGAAAATTACATGACTGGATACAGGATGGTATTTGATAGGGAAAACCTTAAGTTGAGTTGGTCACGTGCAAACTGTAAGATTTCTGGCTCCTAGTACTTTAAGTTGAATTGGTCTCTTGGAGATAAGTCTTCTTTGGGTTTACCACTATCACTCTCCCCCTTTTATCACAGGTCAAGATCTCAGTAACGAAAAGAAAATGCCCCTTGCTCCTTCAAAAGAAACGCCGCCAAACCCATTACCAGCCAACGAGCAGCAGAGTGTTTCAGAGGGGCATGCGGTGGCTCCTGCCGTAGCTGGAAGGGCTCCTTCTAAACCATCAGCTGCCACCCCTTGTTTCATCCCATCCTGCTTTTATACGGTCAGATTGCTGCACCTGCTTCTTCTGGTATTCTACCTTGTTTCTACTTGCGTGTGATATAGATTCTGAGCGTGTCTAAGTTTTACATGTAAATGAAGGTCGTCCCATTATAGCTTCACCCCGGCAAGGACATGTAAATCTTCTGTGTCCTTGCAAGTTGCATCAATGGCATTTTTCTTCTTTTTTTGGTATTTTTTGGGCACTATATAGGCCATTCAGTGGGGGACTGAATCTATACATTCTTCTATCTATATGTTTTTCTTTTCTAATATATATTACCGTAGTTGTACTGCTTAAGTTGACCTTTTATTATTTGTTTATGCAATTTAAAAATTGCTAGTCATGACATGAGATTCTCAAGATCAAATCTCCTAATCTTGAGTTTTCTCATCAGAGAATGTTCTTGTGCAATACTAAACAATATTCTCAATGATTGTCTACGTAATTTAGGGCCAATCATATTATTTTTACTTTCATGTCCTTATAGCCTATTTGGTTGGGATACCTTAATCTTTCAGCTCAGCCTGTCAAACATAATCTTCTCGGAACTTAATATAGTTCTCTAGTATCTTATCCTGGTTGAAGGATTGAGGTCTTCTACAACCCCACCTCCACCTCATTTTTTGAACTAACAAAACCACTATTCGACATCGACGAACAATTATTCTGTCGGTGTCGGGTTAGTATAATGTGTGGTATATGTCCAAAAATTTGAAGGGGGGACTGCTATAATGTAGGAGCAAAGTTGGATAAAGTTGTACATTTGAAGTGGGTGAAAAGAATAAAAGAGATGAAAAATGGGAATGAAGGGTTAAATGTAAGGCAATAATTGTGTATTGGAGAGGTGGTAGTGAAGGGAGAGTTGGGTTTTCCATTTGGAAAAGTTGTTCCATTGAAAAGAATAAATCAGAAAGAAAGTGGCCTTTGAGCAACCAAACCAAACCAAACCAAACCCCTCAAAATAAAAGTACAACACGACAGATTGTGTGTGAACCCACCTTTTTCTTCCTTCTTTCTATTTCTCTGGCTAATTTATGCATTAAATTGGAACCATTTATTTGAATTTATTGAAGCTTTTTAGTCCCAATGGATTGATTGCATGAAATAATATTCTTATCTTCACATTGAAGGTCCCACTCTTTATAGGGATGGCAGAGTTTCTTTTTTCTTTGCAAGGCCTTGTCCTGTCCCATTTGATGTCCTACTTTTTGGAGGAAATATTACTCTAAATTAATCGCATTAAATTATTTCATTCCAATCTCCTTTTGGGTTTTGTGTGTACCTAAATTTGACCCAGTTTGTGAAATTAATATGAACTTTTAGAAAGGAATAAATTAGTTCAATTCTATTGTTTTCCTTTAAGGAAGAATAAGGTGTTTGCACTCTTGTACAGTACTTGAGGGTTTCCTTTCCCTTCTTCTGAATTGGCTTAGAAAAAGGTTGAACTCAGTATATCTCTTGGGCTTCGGGCCATTAGAATACGAGGTGCATGCCTAAATGTGCCTGACATACACATCAACTCGACTTAACTTGACTCAACTCTAGGTGAGCGTTTGCACCTTTTAGCCCAATCTAATCTCAAGTCATGTGTAATCTTAGTTTGTCTCCTAGTAGTCACGCATAATCTCAGTTTGCCTTCTACATGAAGCTAAGTCAATACATATGATGCTTGATTCTATTGTCCAAACTTACCTAACATTATACTTAATTTTTTTTTTCAAGCGAGTCCGAATTATTCATTAGTACAGTTATAATAACTAAAAGAGTCACGAATGAGTACAAAGATTATTCTCGATTAGTTTGATTGAGTGACTTTATGAAATTTGTCGCTTTATAGATAAAAATGTGAAGACAAAATAGAAAGTGGAAATTAGGCAAACCCATTTACTTTGTTCTACTAATAGAAAAATAATCAGCTTTTGAATCCTTTTACATAAACGCCAAACCACCCCTTCTCATCCATTGCCTTTTATTATCAAGTTATTTTGATGAATAATTATTTTAGTCATTTCAATTTTCAAAATATCTTAATATCTTTTAAAAAAATATATCATATTAGTCTTTCCTATGATTTTTATTATTATTTAAAAAAAATTATAAATTTAGTTATTAAACTCTATGATAAGTATTTAATTGGTCAAATTATATTTTAAATTATTTGAAGCATTAGGCAATTAATTTAATTTTTCTCCCTAAATTAGAGAAGTGGAGAGATGGTGATGCACATGATGAAGGAACACAACAATCTTAATAATAATAAATAATATAATTTTATATATTTTTTGTTTGAAACTGTGTTGTGTTGCTCAGAAAACGACATGACGACTACTTTTTCTTAAACGATTATGGTTTTCTTCCTAATAAGGTTTGTCTGTGGTTACTTGTTATTTAAGCCATCCAACTCCATTTCACATCAAATTAATTTGTTTTTTTCTTTTTTCATTAAGTTATTAATTGATTTAATCACTAATTTTATGACTCCATCACCTGCCTCAAACTTCTTATAGAATTTAACATCATCGATATTAATTGATTTAGTGTTATTTATAGGATCCGAGAAACTGACCAACTCGGACTACTCAATCTAAATCATAGAATTTTTTTAATTTGGGTTGAGTAAAATTTTTAAAAAACTGAAAATTTGGATCCGTTCATGTTTTCTTTTTTCTTTTTTTTGGTCGAGTCAATCCCACCAGAACCTCATATTTCTTCTAGAGAATCTCCTAGTTGTTCCAGAGCAACTAGAAAGAGATTCTTTAACCAGAAAGAATTCAGTTCAGGCGTGGGATACTTATCTAGAAGTTTTCGCAACTCAATCATGTATGATGGAATCATCAAAGATTTGACCTTTTCGAACTCTGTTTGTAACTCACTATAGGCTCGAGAAACAAAGAGAAGATGTGTATGAACGAGATATACAGCAACAAGAAGAAGGAAAAGGATTGAATAGCGGACTCCCGAACATTTGGCGATCTCAGATGTGTCAATCCCGAACATACAACCAACCTAGATTATGAAGATTAAGAATATTTGATGTTTTTAATCAATGTTAGCAATGCGTCGAGACTTATAAGTGTTTGATATTTTAGTTTTATGAGATTTTAGTTACTAATGTAGCATATATGGTAGATAAATTAAGATTTTTTTAAATAAAAAAAAATAACTCAACAACCCAATTCAAGTTTAGTTGAGTTGTGAACTTTGTTCGGGTTGCTCGGACCACCAACCAACCCTAATTCAAATTCCTTGTCTGGCAAACATTTATATTGTTGGATTTTAAACATTGTTGAAGGAGAAATGACCACATAATCCATCATTGACAGCTCAAAGAGTTTCTACTTAAAAAAGGGCAATCATCTTCCTAAGGATGGAGCCAAAAGTGCCTCTTCATCGAGAAAATGTATAAAAATCTTCATCATCTTAAAACAACAAAAACCAAGCTTCCTAAGCCAAATTATTTTTGGTGATTGGGGGGCCACAACTACAGCACAGCCCCTTTTCCTCTGTTTTCAATCTCACACAAACGCCTATATAATAAGCAACCCCTGTTTCATGAAACCATCTCAAAACCAGAGCAAGAAACACACAAAACAGCCTTTCAAAATGCTCTTTACTTTGTTTGTTTGAAGGGAAGCTAATAAGATCCATCATTTCCACCCAAACTTACCTTCCCATTTTCTCTACATCTCAATTCTCAACTTCCAGATCATTTTTCACTTCCCCCCTGTCCAAACATTGAAGGTTTCTCTGGGTTTTCCTCCTGTGAGCTTCTGAAACTTTCAGTTTTCAACTTCATCCATTAAACGTGAAATGGGTGTTGGTGGGACTCTTGAGTACTTATCAGATTTGGTGGGAAGTAGCCATAAGCACAAGAAAAAGAAACAGCTTCAAACTGTGGAGCTGAAGGTAAGAATGGACTGTGATGGCTGTGAGCTCAAGGTCAAGAATGCCCTCTCTTCACTCAGTGGTATTTCTCAAGAAATTCCCTTTTTTATCTCACTTTTATTGTTTTCTCTTTGTAAACTTGTCCATTTCAAGAGAGATTACTAACAAAAAATGTGGCGTGTTTGAAGGGGTGAAATCTGTGGAGATAAACAGAAAGCAGCAGAAGGTGACAGTTACAGGGTATGTTGAAGCAAGCAAGGTGCTTAAGAAGGCTAAGTCCACAGGGAAGAAGGCAGAGATATGGCCGTATGTTCCCTACAGTTTAGTGGCGCAGCCTTACATTGCTCAGGCTTATGACAAGAAGGCACCACCAGGCTACGTTAGAAATGTGGAGCAGACTGCCATTACTGCTTCTGTTACCAAATATGAGGACCCTTACATGAACATGTTCAGCGATGACAACCCAAATGCCTGCTCTATCATGTAATTCTAGTACAAGAAGTTCGTGTTTTGTATCAGTCTCTGTCTTTCTTCAGCTTATTTTTTTGTCATCAGCTCAATAATTTGTAGTGGAATCCTTTTATGAAGAGAAAGGGTCAACTTGGGATGACTGATTAGAACATTTGGGGTTGTTAGTTGTTAGTAGTGATGTAAGAGATTACTTTATATCTGTTGGTTTGAAGGATGCATGATGTTGTAATTTCTTGTTTGTGAGATGACTTTGGTTTTCTCCACAGCTCTTCTTTCACCTAAAAAAGGATTCCAACCTGGTTATTAACTGTTTAGAAGACTGAAAATGTAGAGTTGGAGAGGAGAACGAAGCATTCCTTATATGGGTGTGGAAACCTCTCCCTAGCATACACGTTTTAAAATCGTGAGACTGACGACGATACGTAACAGGTCAAAGCGGACAATATCTACTAGCGATAGGTTTGAGCAGTTACAAATGGTATCAGAGCTAGACACTGGGCGGTGTGCCAGCAGGGACGTTGGGTCCTTAAGGGGGGTGGATTGTGAGATCCCACATCGATTGGAAAGGAGAACGAAGCATTCCTTATAAGGGTGTAGATACCTCTCCCTAGCCTCTCCCTAGCAGATGCATTTTAAAATTGTGAGGCGGACGGCAATATGTAACAAGCCAAAGCAGACAATATCTACTAGCGGTGGGTTTGGACTATTACAAAAGGTATTAGAGCCAAACACTGAGCAGTGTGCCAGCGGAGACGCTGGATCCTCAAGGGGTGAATTGTGAGATCCCACATCGGTTGGAGAGGGGAACGAAACATTTCTTATAAGGCTGTGGAAACCTCTCCCTAGCAGACGCGTTTTAAACTGTGAGAATGACGACGATACGTAATAGATCAAAACGGATAATATCTACTAGCGGGGTTTGGGCTTTTACAGGAAACCATTGAGTGATTGAGTTGTGAAGAAGAAGAAAGCCTATGTATTTGCATCTACTTTCGGTTTGGAAAAGAAGCCTAAAAATTTTGAACACAGAATTTGATCCCAGCAAAAGAGTAAAAGGGTAAGTGCAGAGAACAAAATGATCAAATGAAGCCTGCCTTTCCCTTCTCTCTCTTCACCAACGTGAGGAAGGAATCCTTGCTTCCTTTGCTTTTGGCTTTAGGAACCTTTTTTTTCCCGTTAACCTTTTTCTCAGATCCAAAGGTAGTATAAAGAGATATAGCAGAGAGAAAAAACAAGGGTGATTTGGTGTACTAATTTTGTGTTCATTGACAATTCAATCATATTTAAAAGGGAACATGTTCAAACAAAATGTGCTTGTTAGATTCCATCTGAATAAGTTAATGACAGGAAACCACTCAGAAACAAGACATGCTTTTACATAGTATAATAGTATCCAGGCATGGAAATATAGTCATTAGCTTTTATAAGAACACCAAATACATGTTTTGTTCAATCCTGTTTGAGAATGAACAATTTCAACCATGCCTGGCTCAGTTTTTCAGCTAAAAGGGACTGTCATTCCTCCTGATGGGTATTGGAGAAAACCAAGCTTTCTGCCTTAAGATTGAGCTTGGATTCCACATCCTTGGAAAACCCAGAAAGAAGTACACTTAATTTGTATAACGGCTCAAGCCCATCGCTAGCAAATATTGTCCTCTTTAGTTTTTTCCTTTCGGTCTTTCCCTTAAGGTTTTTAAAACGCTAGGGAGAGGTTTACCCATCCTTATAAAGGGTGTTTCATCCTCTTCCCCAACCGATGTGGGATCTCACAATCCACCACCCTTCGGGGCCAGCGTCCTCGCTGACACTCGTTCCTTTCTCCAATCAATGTGGGACCCCACCAAATCCACCCCCTTTGGGGCCCAGCGTCCCTACTGGCACATCACCTCGTGTCTACACCCCTTCGGGGAACAGCCTCCTCGTTGGCACATTGCTCGGTGTCTGGCTTTGATACCATTTGTAACGGTCCAGGCCCACCGCTAGCATATATTGTCCTCTTTGGGCTT